TTAGTAATTAATTAGAGGAAAATATTGCAGTATTTTTAGGTTGGTATTTCCTTTGCTTTCCCATTCATTTGTCCTCAGAATCCAGATTTGGGAGAAAAAAAAAAGAGATTGAATAATTTAACAGACAAATAAGTCAATAACTGTATCAACAGCTGCTTGAATAAACCTATAGATGGTTTAAAGGCCAAAAAGTTTAAGCCACTTGTTGAAAAGCATGCTTTATTATGTCAGAATTTATTTCATTAGTTCATAGAGATCTTTGCAAATATTTATATTTTATTTAAGGTCAGCCTCATCTATGAATCAAAATGCTAACAAGTTTCTGCCCTTTATTTAAACTGTGATGCAGGTTACCTTATCAAATCTTATTATCAAAGAGTAGAGCAACTCATAACTTATTAAATACAAGAATTATAACATATTATTTTGCATAATAATCCTTTAGGTTTATGCACATTTATACAACAAAGCACCAATTCCCATGATCTATCCAATCCACTCTTTTTATATAGCACATTGAAACAGTAAAACATTTCAAAAGTGCTGCATATGCAACAAGAAAAGTAGACAACATGAAATATTAATAAAACTGTTTGAAACAATAAATACAATAAAATAAATACAATGCCACAGGGGATTAGACAACATACACAATGCTAAAAGCCAGAGATCGACAGCTGCACCCACAGATATCCCATCTAACTAAAGATACTTTTAATAGGGTTAGGGTTAACAATTAAAAATAAACATTAATATCACAGTTTTTAAGTTTTATTTTGAGTTTTCAGTTTCATCAATGTTTTTCTTGTTTTTCTTGTTTTTCTAGTTTTATTCCTGTTTTCTGGTGTTTTCTGGATGTATCCAAGTTCTTAGTTATCCCTCTGCTGCCCTCTAGTGTTGGTCTCCTTCTCATATTTTCCTTCTAGATTCCTCTGTTCACACCTGCTCCCAATCAGCTCATTAGTCCTGTCTTTGTTCAGTCTCCCATATATACTCTCCCTGTGCAGTTCCTCAATGCTCGTTCCTTGTCTTTCCCTGGCTCTTCATGATGTCACCATTGTTCTGTTTTTGTTTTTTCTGTAATTTCTATGTTGGATTTTTGGATTCCTGCCTCAGCTGCCTGTGAGTACTACATTAAATACTCACCTCTGCCTCCTCACCTTGGCATTTGGGTCCTCAAAACCTCAATCAAACTGTAATAGTTCAGAATCTAGAAAAAAGCAATGTAATGCTATTTAAGTAATATGCTATTTAAATCATATATATATATATATATATATAAATATACACACACACATATATATATATATAGTGGTGGAAAGTAACAAAGTACATTTCAATCTGAAAAACACACACAAAGGGAAAAGAAAGTTACCGGTAGGAGATATTTATTTAAATAATGACTTTAGTCTTTGGCGCTCAGACCTGGGCAGGAAACATAGAGCTGAATTTTGTTAGATCTGCATGAACAGGAGTAAAGAACAGGGCTGTTTCCCCCCCAGGCCTGAAACTGGTGGTGGAGTGGAGATAGATGGAGTTGGTCAGTCTGTAGACTGCTGGTTGGAGAGACGGTCTGCTGAGCTTTATGGGGAGATCCAGTGGACTGCAGGAGCTGATACTAGAGCTTCACTCAGGGACCTGGAAGATGGAAGTCCAGTTGGATAACACAGGTTGAGAGAACCTGTCTATGATGAGAAAGCATGGAGCGACAGTGGAGAGGAAAAACTCCCCGTTGGGAAGAAACCTCTGGCAGAACCAGGCTCAACATTGAGGTCTTCTTCCAATACTTTTAACTTTCCCTCCATTTCCAGGAAGCTGTTAATTCCTTCTTCCTTTTAGCTCAGCGTAGTTTTTTAATCCTCTGTTGCTGTTTTTCATCCATCATGGCATCATGGCACCACTATATATAGTTAAACGCCTACTATTTGTGATCTGAAACTGCAAAGTGTTTTTATATTTTGTACAGATTAGTTGACTTCCTGCTGTGCTTTATGCTTTCTACAGACGGCTTATATTAGAGCCTGTATTCCATTAATCTCTGTAATGGTTTGATTGAGTCACCCTATTAAAAACAATAATCAATTAATCACCATAATTTTTTTTGTTCCACTCCCACACAGATCATTAGGCAGTTTGGGGTTAAATATTCTGCTGTGAATCAAACCTACAACTTTCCAATTGGGGCTCTCAGGTTGGTTTTTTATAAGCTTATTTTATCAGGATCAGAAAACGTTTTTTTTTTTTTTTTTTTTTTTTGGTGGGGGGGGGGCAGGTAGATCGACTGGGACCTTTAAAAAAAAAAACTGTACTTTTTTTTTGTCTTCCCAGCAGGTGGTCTTTGACTCGTACTGGTTTAAGCTCCAAACTAAACATCTCCTAATGTGAAAGAAAACAATCTGATCTATGTTGAGTAAAGAAGTATTCCCAGAGCCACCAGGGATAAAATGGCAGCTTATTCATATTTAAACCCACAAACGTCTCAAACTGAAGCAGCTAAATGACAACGGCTTTGTTTTTCCAGTGTTGAGCTGCACAGCCCTGCCAGACGAAGCCTTTGCATGAAACCGTCCTTGTTTTAACCTCATCTTATCAGGATCAAATGGTTTAAGGTGTTAAAGCAGATGAGTCAGCAGAGTAACTGCAGGCACATGTTTGGTGAAAAGAAGCGGTTTAGATGTTTTGACTTTAAACTAACTCTCAGCTTTAGGACGTTAAAATCCAGGATTTAAAAGCAAAATAAGTTTTATAATTCATGGGATGACGAGTAAAATTTAGCAGATAAAAAATGTAACTGTCACGTTTCTGTAATCATGTCCTCACATTTAATCTGTTTTTGCTACATTTAATGCTAAATATATCCATGTCTAGAAATAGTGTCTATATTTCTATGCTTTTTAATAAGTCTTACATTTTTGTGAACCCTAAATCTTTGTTACGTAGATGCTTATCTTTTAATACTTACACCTTTTTTCCCTCTCACTCCCTCACAAGAGGAAACTGTTTCTTAGACAAGTCTGCAAATTAATTTAGCAAAATTATTTCTACATTTGAAGCAATATAAAAATATGTGACGACATAAGGTCATCATGAAGGAATCATGAAAACCAGTCTTTTACATGAAGAGGCTTAAATGTCTGAAACGATTCACCAAATGGAGGAAAAGTAAAATCTGTGCAAACTGGAGGTTATAAAACTGGACGTGTCTCTGCGCTGAATGTAAACAAAGACAGCTGGATATTCAGCCTAATGCAAAGAATATTGTTTTTTCCTTATTTCCTGTTTTTGTGATAAAGTTCATTATTTCCATAATGTAATGATGAAACTTGAATATTCATATATTTTAGATTCATTGCACACTAACTGAAATATTTCAGGTGTTAAATGAGGAAGTTATGTCCTCAAAAAAAAAGCTGTAGCGCCTCGGGGGCTTCCTCACGGTAAAACCATATAAAAAGGACTATAAAAAAGGAGTTAAAAAATAACAGAGTTTATTCCAGATCAGGTCGTTACAGGACAGAGAAAAATGCTTGGAGCTGCACAGCTGTGGTCTCAAAAATCACGTCCACGTGTGTCCGGCAAAGTTTGAGCCCCAAACAAGGTCATCTCCTGCTTCTTATAGCTCATGAGTCTATGTGTTGCACCAGGTGGATGCTTAGCTGTCCGTATCAGAAACTGACACACCATCCATGCCCAAGGATTACAGATAGCTCTCCTCTATCAGTCCGGCTCCAAGATGTTCCCATATCCTGTGTATTTTTAAAGACACAAAGACCTCCGTACACAGTGACATCCACAATGTGAAGGAAGGCCTTCTGCTCTGTCTAATCTGGCTAATAAAGTAACTATGCACATGATGTATAAAGAATAAACCTAACACAGGTCTTAATATGGATGATTTTGGCATACAGCTCATGAAAACCCAAAATTCCTATCTTTATTTGTTATGGTTCTCATTTGTTGACTCTGAGTTTTCAGTTTTTTGTTATCAGTTGTTTTGTTTTTATTTTCCATCATATTCTAGCATTCTTTAGTTACTCTCTGTCGCCCCCTTGTGATTGTTTGCTTTCCCCTTGGATTCCCTCTTGCCAGTTCCACCCACACCTGCTCCTCATTCAGCTCGTTAGTCCATCCTTTGTTTTGTTCTCCTTAAATACTCCACCTCTGCAGTCACTCAGTGCTGGTTCCTTCTCGTTGCTGTATTGTCTACTCTGCTCGTCTCTCCCCGGCTCCTCAGACTCGTTTTATCCCCTGATGTCTCCATGGTTTTGGTTTGTTTAATATTTTAAGTTGGATTCCTGGATTTCTGCCTCTGCTACCTTTGGTCTGTCATTAAACCTCTCAGAACTCATCTCTGCTTCACTCGTCTCTGCATCTGGGTCCTCGAGCAACCTCACCACCCATTGTTGACATTATTACAATATGCTAACATTTTAAGAAGGACCTGTAGTATGAATCATTACAGGAGAAAAAATGAGCACAGAGCCAAAAATCAGCAAGGATCAGTCAGACTTTCCTCCTAAAATCTCAAAGAACTTCAGATCAACTCTCGCTGTTCATTAAGCTCTAATTATTTCAGGTGTAAACATTGGCTATTTTTATTTTATTTTTTTTATGGATCAGCAGAACAATCAGGTGGGGATCATCACTCAAACTAGTTTAATGCACTCTGCTTGATATTTGTTGGTTTAAAGAGCCACAAAAAGAACAAATGACCTTTTAATAAAAAATTAATCAGGGTTTGGGTTTTGAATCTAATCAAGCTGCATCTGTTCGATTTCCATCACTGTCAGCGGTTGTTACTGTTCAACCGTTCATCCACTGCTACGAGCATCAGCTGAAACTCATCGAATATAAGGATATTGGAGACAAAAAATGGGATTAAAACTTCCTTTAACATCATTAACCCTATTAGTCTCTAAGTTACCTGATAGTCAGTCAGTGATTAAAAATGACTTCTAATCTCTTAAAGTAATTCAGCCTGAAGTGATTAAAGCTCAAACCGAGTTGCTGTGCAGCTTCCAGAGAGACTTCCTCATCTGTGGCTCTTGGCAGCTCCTCCATATCTACCAGCAGTCGTATTTCCATCCAAATGAAATCACACCCAGAAGGAGGGGAGAGACGCCCAGAACCACAGCCAACCAGCACACAGCTCTGGTAACATGACTGCATAAACAACCCAATTTAGATGATTTCATTTGACAATATGTAGAATCATCCTCCCACTTCCCATTCAATCCTGCCCTGTGTTGGTCTGTTTGTAGCAGAGGATGAACACCCAGGTGGTTAAAGGGAATCATAAGATGTTACATAATTTAACCTTTAGAATTTCCCTGACCTGTTTTCCTTTTTATCACCCTAACAATCTAAACTAACTTTTGATATTCTACAAGACTGGAAGTATTTTCTGCATTGTTGCTGCTATAGGCTTAGACTGCTGGAGGACATAGGGACCCCCATTTCATCATTCTGCTTCATTCTATCTCTATTCTCCCACTCTGCAGAATCTGTTAGTTCAATCTCTAACGTTCTGCTCTCTCTGCTTTTTCTCATAGTAGCTTCATCTGGTCTGTTCCTGTTTGGCTGTGACTCCATCCTGGAGAGAAATATCAGCTGTGCTGCTGCCATCAACACCTTTGTTTCTAGATGTTGGAGCTTGGCCTGTTTTTCAGTGTAGTCCTGTTTCTCTGACTGTGACTAACTGGATGTGCTCTCTTCATCCTCTGACATGGGAGCTGGCTCGGAGCTCGTCTGCCTGGCTGTGTGTTTCCTGGACGGGGCCGCCTGTGGAGCTGGTTGACAGTTGCCTTTTGTATCTATGCTTCTTTTTCTATGTCTGCTTCTGTCTCCTTGAACCCCTGTCAGCTCAAAGGTTTTTTAAATCAGTTTAATCCCATCCAAATGAAGTGACTGGCTAATCAGCTTCTTTTTCAGAGACTCTGGTCCAAAGACTATAACTTCTGTTTTGTCTTCATTCAGAAGCAGAAAGTTAAGAGTCAGAGTGAGATTAGAGATTAGAGTGCCTGTAATCTATGTAATGGGTTAGCTTCATCTGGATTATAGACAGATATAGCTGGATATCATCAGCATAACAGTGGAAATTAATCCCATGCTGTCTAATAATTCTACCAATTGGGAGCATGTATAAAGTAAAGAGAATTGGTCCTAGCACTGATCCCTGTGGTACTCCACAGGTAACCTTTGAGCGTGTTGAAGATCTATCATTAACATGAACAAACTGAAATCGATCAGATAGATCAGATTTAAACCAGTCTAGAGCTGTTCCTTTAATTCCAACAAAATATTCAAGTCTTTCTAAAAGAATATTATGGTCAACTGTATCAAATGCAGCACTAAGATCCAACAGGACGAGCACAGATACAAGTCCATTATCTGAGGCCATGAGAATATCATTAGTGACTTTCACCAGAGCTGTTTCAGTGCTATGATGAGCTCTAAAGCCAGACTGAAACTCTTCAAAAAGTTCATTATGGTGGAAGTGATCGCACACTTGTTTGGCAACTACTTTCTCAAGAATTTTAGATCAGAAAGGAAGATTGGATATAGGTCTATAATTGACCAAGTCATCTGGGTCAAGAAACGGTTTCTTAAGCAGAGGTTTAATTACAGCAATCTTAAAAGCTTTAGGTACATATCCCTGTAACAGAGATAGATTAATCACATCTAGAATTGAGGAGGAGATCAAAGGGAATACCTCCTTAAATAACCTGGTTGGAACTGGATCTAACATCCAAGTTGAAGGCTTAGATGAAGACAATAATTTTGCTAATTCAGAAAGTTCAACTGGATCAAAGCAGTCTAAACCCGGTTCAGATTCCATGACTACCTCAAATGCTGCCCCCCCCTCCAGACACAAACCAATCAATATTAATCAAAGAAGCTGAACAGGGCTATTATCTAGCATCACATCATCAATTCTCGGTGCTAATTTGCAAACAGGAAACATTTCTTAAAAAAAGGAGTTGAATAAATTTTTGTGTGGATTAAATGCATATTCAGGATCGTATAGATTTTATTTTTTAATCCAGGGCAGTTTATGTAGCAACTGTGCACATTTGTGATTTATTGTAATAATGGAAACTGAAAGAGTTCCTTTCTCCATGAGTTCAGGCAGGTGTTACTGGAGGACGTGACATCATCACAGTTCCCACAGCTATTATGGTGCTTCTCCAGTAACACAGAGGAAGGATACCCCTGATTTAAATTCCACTGTCGCTACAAGCATGGTTAAATTTACTTATTTAAACTCTAAAACACTAGATTTACGAATAACCCAGAAATATATTTAATCCAACCATTTGTAAAATGTCTGTTTCTGTCATTTTCAGATTTAATTTAATATCAAAGTATCAATAAAAATCTGTCCACGCTAATTTTAATCCTCTGGACCATAATAATAAATAAGCATAATGTTTGGCAGACCCCAAATGTTGTGACTAAAAATCCATGGAATTTTAGATTTTATTTTGGAGGCTGTAGTTTATTTTACAGCCAAATGAAATTTTGGGAAACCGATCCTACTATGAGCTTGACAGAAGGGAAGTTGTTTATTTGAACTGATTGGGAGGTTTTCAAAGCAAATGTGTGAAAGCCTGTGCGGGCGGTGGGCCTGTTTCATGTGGGCAGCGTATCCTCCAACAGCGAAACACGCAGCTATGTCACAGACAGAAGGGATTTTATGTATCTTCAAAACAGAACATGTTCTGCCCAAAGCAAAGTAGCACTGAGCCAACGCTGCGTAATAATCTTGTCAGGAGACGCTGTCTGAAGCTTTACTTTTCAGCAGAATCTTGTTTTGTGGATTCAGCTGGTTTAAAACACCATCTTACTCTTAAATATTTTTTTTTCCACAATCATGACTTCTCTTCAGCTTGGTGTTAAAATACAAAGCAAGTTTAATGGCAATAAATCATTATGACTGCAGTCTTTACCGGGAAATGAACCATCTGCTCCTCACAGCCTTAAAACACAAACCACAGCATGATCCCAGATTCAAATCTACAAACTGAAGCTGCTTTAAATCGCTGGTCAACAAAAATGGGTTTTTAACCTACAGTTTAATAATGACCAGATTAGATCAGCATGTTGAACAGAAGCTCTGGGGTCTAATTTATCAAATCTGCATTAACAAAAGGAGGCCTAAGGGACGCCACTTTACAATGCAATCTATTAAAAACAATCCTCTCCATCAGTAGGTCAATGTGTCACTCCAACAGGGGTGGATTTAGGAAATGTGGGGCCCTAGGCAAAGACAGGCAGGGGCCCCTCTGAATTGAGAAGACAACCCATCAAACAGCCCCATTCTCCAGATGTAGAAATGTTAATAGAATAGACATCCATTATCTGTTCTAGGTTGTGTCCCTCTCTTCTTGTCCCTTTTCTTCTTGTTTTCCTCTCTATGTTTTGTACTCAGCTGACTTTTCATGCTGTCTCTAAAGGAATGAAAGATTTTTTCCAAGCACTAAGCTCACTTAGCTGATTGCTCCTTCCTGTGTTTCCAAAAAGGCCAAAGTAAATAACCCAGTCCTTCTTTTCACTGTAGACAAGCCATGATCTGCTTATCTGTTCTCCATTTTTCATTTGGATGAAATAATAGCTGCATGAATCATGACAGCAGACAAGATAGAGGAGAGCAGGAGGCGGGGTTACCAATCTACTCGCTCTGGAGAGCAGAGTTCGCTGCTTTTAGATGTTGTCTCCAAAGTCTCCAGTAGCAGAAAAAAGTCTCTAGATTTGGCGCTAGGAGCTTTTTAGAAATCAAAGTGCTAGAGGGGTCTGAAAAGTGGCTAAATATAGCGACTAAAGCGCTAAGTTGGCAACACTGCTCTTTGCATGGTTTGTTTTCAAATGGTTTGCTGCTGTCTGTTTGGACCTTTCTGAACATGTGCAGCAAAAGGACTGATCCAATATGGTGGACACTGAAGGGGCGGGGCTGAGACACACTGAATATTATCAGCGTTCTGATGGCATTTTAGCCAAAGGATTTTTATCAAAAACATAATTAATGTGCAGAAATAAGGAATAGTTGATAAAGAAAATTGATCCCTCCACCCTTATTTCAAGTATCCACTCAACCTGCCTCCTTGACTTCAATAATCTGCTAACCCCTGATGATCTGGTTTTTCACTACAACACTGGTCTCCATAATATTCTTGACTCACTTGCTCCTCTAAAAAATACATTTGTTTCTTTCTCTGTCTCCTCCCCCTGGTACACCCCAAATCTCAGAAGCATGAAAACCAAAGACTTTACAGAAAAACTGGTCTTACTATACACAAAGAAATGTACAATAATAACATTATGCACTATAAGGACTCCATTGCCAGCACCAAATCACAGTACTACTCCAACTTAATCACTGCCAATCAACAGAGCTCTAAGTCACTTTTCTCTATACTTAACAATACCATCAAATCCCAGGACCCTCTCCCCCTGCACCTTTACACAACCTCCTTCTGCAATGACATCATGTCATACTTCACAGAAAAAATCAAGAACATTCACCAGAACCTTGGATCAACGGCTCATCTCAGCAACTCAGCAGATCTCCCCCCGCCTACACATTTATTCTCCTCCTTTCATCCTCCCACTGTCTCGGAAATCACAGAGCTCATCCGGAAATCCAAATCATCCACCTGTCAACTGGACCCCCTCCCAACACATCTTGTCAAAACCTGCCTTCCCTCTCTGGCTCCCCTCATCTCCGCTATCATCCACTCCTCCCTCACCACTGGAACTGTCCCTACACCTCTCAAAACTGCTGCCATCACCCCGATTGTAAAAAAAACCTGGTGCCGACCCCACCAACTTCAACAACCTCCGTCCTATCTCCAATTTACCCTTCATCTCCAAAATTCTTGAAAAAACAGTTGCCTCCCAGCTCCATTCTCACCTATGTGCCAACAGCCTGTATGAAGAATTTCAGTCTGGTTTCCGGCCACTCCATAGCACTGAAACAGCACTCATCAAAATCACCAATGACCTCCTCATGGCATCTGATTCTGGACTACTCACCATCCTCATCCTCCTCGACCTGAGTGCAG